AGGGGAAATGTTTCCAGGGTAGTATTCCGCGTGACGTCATGGCTTCAAGGTCGAGAAAATTCTCCGATCAGTTGGTACGTGTTATAATAGTATCACACAAAAACAGAATGTGAAACAAAGCATGTCGAATTGCATATCGTTTTTCCTAAAGGAAAGGTCGAACGAAAGGGAGAGAAAAAGAACTATTTTCTCTGGGCACGTGTCTCGTTGACCTTCATATTGTATTCCGTTTAAACAACATTTCATATAGAGCCGGATAACCGTCTCTTTTTGACGGCGGTAAAATCGATGAACATTTCAGGAAGGATTCTTTCTCAAGAACCTGTAGTATCAAAGAAAAGTTTCTAGAGATCGTCCCTCCTGAACTTCACTTCCCCATGCGAATCAGAAACTCAAACATTTCTCCTAAGAAGGAACTGTGTAATTAAGAGTTCCTACGAGATCTGTGGGCCAATCCAATCGAAAGCAGTACGTGCGTTCTCACCTTTATCTACCCTGCAATCAGCCGTTCAGTTGTTCCAAGACTCGGAAAATGTTTACATGCAAAACAACGAACTAATGCACATTCTGAACATATTTATGAAAAGTATGTTTTATAATTGTTTGCCTGGACGTTGCAGTGAAGACGGTATTTCATAACAAGAGCAGTGGTGATTTTAACAAAATCAACAAAACTATTGGGTTGGGCATGTTACAGAAAAAATAAATATCTACCTATTTTTTTCTGGGTAACACCTGTTGGAAAACAAGCCTTTTAAAGGGGATGGAGGAATAATATTAAGACAGACCTTAGGGAAACACGCTTTGAGGACGAGGTGCATAGATTATTAGGCTCAGGATTTCATTCGTATTATGGTGTTGAAGCAGAGACTTACTTGCGTGTTGTGCTTGGATGCTATATGGATGTTAAACTCGTGTTTTAAAACTTGTACCTACGTTTTGTTTTCCGGTCCCCAGAACCCTACCCCAAGTATAAATGCACAGTGCTAGCGATAATTATTGAAACTCGATACTACTCCAGCGCTGCCAATCTCACAGAAACCTACAGGGCAGGCCAGGCCAGACCGTAAAACAAAAATAATAATACAAAGAGAAACCAGAGAAGAGAGGATGTCCCCTGTACCTGTGTGACAAATTAGCTGAAAATAAATAATGCTAGTAACTAATTATGCCTAACTCTTTTGAGTAAACAGTCGAGATATTACCAATAGAACTAGAAGTTCCATTAACATATTCACAAATGCCCACCACTGGTCCCTACCTTGAGCAAGACGAATTCAGTCGACACTTCACAACTTATTTCTGTAATATTCATTTCAATATTATAATACCATATACTTTTATGTTTTCTGAGTAATTTCTTTCATTCAGAGTTTCGAACCAAAACGTTGTAATCATATGTCATCTTCCCCACGATTACCACAAATTCTTACAATCTCATCCTCCTGCGTTTGGTCATCCAAATAACATTTGGTTAAGACTATAAAGCATTCAATATATTAGATCAACGAGAGATATTGAAACTTTAAAATACAAAGCACTTCATGTCTCCTTTACATTCCGAAATTATGACGTAATAATGGTCTTCCACTTTGGCACCGTACGAAGGTAAATGGGAAGTTTCACGCTCCGACTGATTTATCCACGGAGAATGAGACCATGATACCTGCTACATGAAAAAACATGGGTTTCATAGCTGGACTGGGCACAATGATGAAAAGATAAAATCAATTTTTCTGTCGGGAACTGAACCCTGACTGTCAAGCCCATATTAAATCAATTTATACTGACTGAGCTATTCAAGCTCATTAATAACAACAAACCAACAAATAAAACAACGCTGTTTGAAAGAAACAGGTAACAAAGGAGCTTTTCCACGTACGATTAATTATGGATTCAGAAAGGCCTCCGTTCCATTACGGATTGAAGAATCTCCAACTTGACTATTGAAAACAAGTTACAAGTTACAATTTACAACTCCGCAGACTTTAAGAAAAAAGTCCTCTAAACTGATACCCAGGCTACTGAAATTGCTCGTGATCTGGACCACATTAAATGATACACCGACCTGACACGAGAGACATCTCCGACAAAGCAATTCTTTGCGCCCCGAACACGCGTATTCAAACCTGTAACACGTCACATGCAGAATCGTGTTCCTGTGAATTACCGCAAATTTAAACAAAAGCAAGCTAATGCAATCAACGTGAGGGCTGGTGCGACCCATATAAACTACTGAGGCCGGGTGAATTACGTTCTGTTTCAAAATTATAACTGTACCAAGTAAATTGATTGCTCGGCAAACCCCACACCTGCGTTCTTCGACGTGTTCTGACCAGGGATTGTAATTTAATGCAGTTTAAACAATTAATTTGCATTGCATTACCAAGTTGCAGGTGGTACTGACGAACTGTTTGGGGTAGACAGATTAGGTATCCATTTACAGGATTCCACGTGTTCTTTCTTCCGTACTCGCTTAAACATACAAAAATCTGTTGTTGCAATGATTAACAAACAACAGAACAAATTAACACGACTCCGTTTAATCAAACATTTACTACATCAACAATTATTTCAAACAAAAGTAATTAAATGTTGTATGATTTCACTTTCTGAAGACGGAGTATGAAGATAACTGTCTTTTCGGATCTTGGGCCGTGTTGTCTCATAGAGCTTGCTTGCTACCTCCATCATCAGGGCGACTGAGGTAGTAAGCACCTCTGAACATCGGACAAGTTCTGCGAGACGACACGGTGTATCGTTCCAGAAGATAGTCATTTCAAGTTTTATGTACGAAGGGAGCTGTGTGATTGTTCAGACCTCGGCGCCATGTAATACAAGCGCTGTGCTAACCTTCAGAATCCCTTCTAACTACACGGAGGTCACGTACTGGGAACCAATATTCTCCGATGACGTAATTATATTATCAAAAAAACTTATATTCGTAAAACAAACTGTCCACCATGTCTGTCTGAAAACTTTCTAGAGGCGACTAATATAGCGAAACGTTTATTTTATTATAACTGAACTGTATTTTTTATATATTGAACACTCAAAAGACATTTAAATGACGGCTGTCAGTTAGCACACCGGTATTTTAAACGGTACACCAGAGGCTTGGCCGACAACTTTTAGAGTAGACTCTAGCCCCTTCTCATGATCCGTTGAATTATAATTGTTGTGTCAGACGTGTTTAAAGTTGTGTAAAAATGCGCTCCAATTTGGAGTACAAATACTGTAGTGTCTAAATGCGATGGCTTGCTACTATATGTCTCTGCGTCCACGCGATGTTCATTTATTGCAGATACAAAGCTAATCGACAACACGGACATAACACTTCAGAGAGAGAATATTTGTTCATTGTATTTCGATACATTTTGAAATGTTTGAAGCAAAAGTTGAAAAAATGTAATGAGATGACGCTCTAACATTTTTTGCGCGATAAACCGTTTAATATGAATGCAATGGCAAGTTAGGACAACATGGACCGAAACGCAATTCGTTCGATCCCGTAATACCAACTGACGTGCAGTTTCGGAAATAAAATGTATGGACGGAAGCGAAGACTGACTGTCGTAGCGCTCTGCTAAATCACGGTAATTACACCTTTCAGTCAGAAGGTAGCTGTATGGAATCATTTGGAAATGTTATTAACTTTCAATCAGCACAAGTATGTTATGTGGGTCCCTTGCCAGCAGGGCATCGCGCCTTCAGAAATATGCCTACATATTGAACAGTAGAGTACAGCGGACAAGGGGTTGTCCTCCAGGTCGGGGGTTTTTCCTGGAGAGGGGGCAACAATTCCTCATTGTAAAACACAATGACTAGATTAAATGTTAAGCAGGGCCGCGGAAGACTATTGGCGATTTCTTGTGTACCTGGAAAGCCTAATAAACGTTCGAGTTCAAAAAAGTATATAAATAAATAGACAACTTGGGAATTTCTCTAATAAGTGCTCCATAGGGTTGGATAATTCAATTATCATAATGAGATCAAAATGCCATACTGCATCACAAATTGTAAATTTTAGAACATACCCTACATGGTAATTCTGACCTACGTATGCACCAGTTACAAAAATAAAAGTCACATACAAACATAAGTAATTATGTTACTCAGTTTTCGGTTGTACCAGACATGAACCACACCCAAAGATAAGAAATTCATAGAAAATTTCATTCGGAAACCCTCATAATAAATAGCTAACAGAAGAGGGGAATCTTATAAGCAATGTCAAGGAAACAAGATGTGTACTGAATGCAACTGGCTCAGGTTGCGATCCAATGGCTGACTCTTGTGAGAACTGCAATGAGCCTTTGGATTCTACAAAAGGCGGAGAATTTCTTGACCAGCTGAAGACAAATTAACTTCTCAAGAGGGGACCTACTCCATGGAATTAGTTATTTCAAGCCCCATTTGAAGTTGAAAGGGTTAAGAGCAATCACTTCATTAGCTTAGTCACTTCCAAGTCCCAGCACAATAAATCAGTAATAATTTCTAAGCAGTATATTCCAAAATCAGCAGAAAGTCATGCAGTCGATAAGTGAGACGTGGACCAGCTGTTATGAAACACTTCAAAATATTTTAAATCACTGACCTAACTACAGAATTTCAACGGAGTCTCATATTCGGTGAATGTGAGCCATATATATCACATATTGGTGTCATGCGATAACGGTTTAATAACCATAACATGATACGAGAGTGTTAAATGTGCATGCTGCAGCGCTACAAGCACTTCCAGTGGTGGCACTAAACCCTACAAGGCCTAACCCTTTGTAACCCTCTTTTCACTACTTTCATTCATCACAGAGACGTGAATGCGGCAATCGCCAGGCCGTACCATTCCGTGACCCGTCTCTAACTTATCGATTGCTCGAAGCTTCACTCCACATGCACATTATCTAGACCTTCTTAACTACTGACGACTGACTTTCAGGTTATGTAACGGCGCTGTTTTAACTGCGGCAGTAGTGCATCATGGGAAATAATCACTCTTCCACTTCTTTTTCTGGGGGAGAGCCATGTGTAGACGTGTCTATACGTTTCGATATAATCCTGGATTCAGACCAGAGTAGGTCTTGACGCACTGGAACTGAACCCTGACTGTCAGCCATTCAGAAAGTACCTACTTTGCCTGCAGTGTACTGCAGTGTGTGTACAGTGGTTGTGTTCCATTTAACTCGCAGTCTGTTTTGGAGCGCTGTCGGGAGCAGCTGGAGCCGAACAATTACACACAGGTAAGTCTCTCAAGCGGTGCCAATATTCAGAGGACATCGTAAGGATTTAACCCCCTCACCCCCGAAATGTTTGCGATTACATTAAAATAAATTATTCTGCTACCACAAAAAGTACAAAACATTTCATTGATACCAGTTCAGTAGATTAGAAAATTAAACACGCGGACGGACAGACTACCCATTCTACGCTCTGTGAACAAGGAGCATGAAAGGTAAATTCAGAGGTCCTAGGAAACATACATCGCGGCAACAAAAATCAAACCATTCATGTTAGCGAAAATACAAATGCTGTGGTAAAATGAAAAGTTGCTGAACGTTGAAGCAGGCTGCAGGCCTAATCAACACTGACATTAGTATTGCTTTTAACTTGGCATTTATCACATTATGCCATATTTCACGATACAAATTCTTTTAATTTCCTGACATTAAGTAACGAACTACTATAGTGTGCTACACAAGCAGTAAATTATAAAATATTACATTTCAATCAGCACCACGACAATGAAAAATGATTTTTAATACTTATTCACCGAAACAAACTACTGTACTCGGGATTTTTTGTCCCTGCAGATAACTATGCCACCTCGTCTGTACACAATGTGTCTGGAGATGCTGATTCCACTTATAGAAAAAATCGGGGAAAATTACGACTGGGAACAAGGCACAGGGCCGATCGACAACTTGGGTAAGAACAGTTTAAAAGTGTCATTAAATAACTTAAAACTCAATCACGTGCTTTAACTTCCAACATCCTCGAAAGATTTGTGTGTTTTTATATAATTATTCTGTCTGGCGACGGGATAAGACAGGGACACGCAGACACCACGCATTATTCAACACGGTTCCTTTTCCGTATGAAATCACCTTAGAAACAGAGGAACGCTGATTTTTTTTTTAACGTCTTGTTAGTTTAGGTAGAGGGAGTCTCATTTTAAAATTTCCAGCAACGGTTTCTCTTTTGTAAAATTCAAGAATTCATTGAAGCCATTCGATTTTCACATGAATGATGCATATTAAAGTCACCGGTACTTCATGGACTGGAATAAATGATTTATTCTTATTCCAAGCATATCACTGAAGTTTGCAGAGAAAACTTCGAAGACGAGATAGATTCAGCCTTCAATGATTCAAGCAGTGTGTAGGAAAGTTGGAGGTGGGGGAGGTTGCCCTAGTTCCCCCCTCCACCCCGCTGGCACGGCTCAAGTGTCAATCACTTCTTTTCGAGAAGCTGTTTTTTTTTTGATGGACGGATAGAACATCATAGCGCAGAACGAAACAAACTTAGACGATAATAATAGTAGCAACAGGAAATAAAGCACACAAAATATACTGAAATATTTCAGCTGTACATTTTAAAATAGCAAAAAAAAAATGAAGTAATTCGTTCAGAAAGAAAAATATACTCTGAGTAAATTTAAGTGCATCAGAGAAATAATTTCTAGGCAACATTAAATAAGCCGTTTGTGGCTTTCCAATAATGCGACTGCTGCGTTACAATGGATAAACAGAAACAAAAAAGCATTTTACTATCACTTTAAAATTTGGCATTGAAAATGTTACACACCAAGAAGTCGGGTGTAATTACAAGCCTCTCTGACAAAGTCCCACCAAAAACGTACGAATGAAAAATTTCCGAAAACGTGACACAGATGTGAGGAATTGCTGGATCAGTAATTAGCGTTACCTTCCACGACAATTACGTCCAAGACTCCACGAAAACACTAGAGTGGATGTCCACTGGTACCGCTGTACCAATATTGGTCCATGTCACATGGTGAGGGCTAAGTGAAACTACGAACCGAAAAAGTAAGACGAGATTCCAACGTACACGGATGCCAATAATCCGGTCAGAATAATTTCAAAACCAAAATAAGCCGTGGCACTGTTTTATTTAGATGTAATGTTCTTCGTTTGCCTTGTGTTCCAGCGGGGGTTCTAACCGACGACCTGCTACTGGAAGCATACCACAGAGCTTCCAGAGGTGGGGCAGTTGTGGCCTGGACAGACGCCTGGAAGCTGCTTCTCACTCCGAAGTCACAAAGCGTAGTTCTGAGTTGGGATCACAAGTTGTTGCAGTTTGTTTTGTCCAGATGCCAGGTGCAATTTGTATACGTGTAACATTCGTGTCGCTAACAGAATCTCACCATACAAATTTCACAACTCACATTACAGTGATTCATAAGTCATCATTATCGCGACGAAATATTTCGCGCGTCAGCCATGTTGTTACATTCAATTTACCTAAAATTAGTTAATATTAGACATAATTACCGCTCCATCGATCCGTATATATCAAGTCAGTGAAAAACATCTGACAAGGCGCTCCACCAAATTTTATTAATTATGATTACAATTTTAAAATACTTTCATGTTTGGGTAATACGTATTTTCCATCTTCACAGGTTTCACTTAAGTCATTAAGCTATTAAAATTTATACTTTACACTAATATGATACACCGCAATATACTAAATGTACCTGCAAAGTATGTACAGATTTAGATTTGAGTTCTACGCAGACTTTTAAGTTGCACTTCATGTGTGTGTAAACACGCGCTAACGTATATACGCATTACTAAAAATTATAATTATTTTAATTTTTCTATACAGAAAAATTATTTTATTGAAATTAAAAATAAATTAGATGACAAAAATCTACAAAATCACGTAAACACTGTATATCACAATGTATCATACTAATGTAACGTATAATTTTTTAATAACTTTAGTAAACCTCCTGAAGACAGCGAAATGAATTTTCCGAAACACGTAGTGTTGCAATTTTAGTTAAATTGTGTGATATGCGTCAGTTTTTAGGTGTTGTTCACGCTGTAGTTTAAGAGAAGAACACATTATACACCCGTCTATGTCTCTCTACCTGTTGTGTTCTTCAGCCTAGTAACTAGGCAACCACAAGGTATTCAAACACTGAAGCGAAACCAGGGTTTTGCACTAGAAGGCCTGAACTCCCAGGGGGGGATGGCGGCCTGTGTTGATGCCGCTGATGAAAAGAGAGTGAAAGGTTTAAAATGAATAGACATACTAAAATGGTGTTTGCAGCATAATTAGGGGAAAGGTATACAGATACGCTCAGCTGGTACCACCTAGAACCGGAGGAACGGAGGAAATTTAGTATATGATAGGAACGCTAGAGTTGTAGCTCGTGTTCTGTTGAATACCGGTAGCACGTGCAGCAGTAGTAGTAATAACAGCAATATACGCCATTAGTAGAGAAAACACCGGAAATGTAGCACAAAAGTCAAGCAGATCTATAAATACTCGTAGTTTTCAATGCTTCTGTCTTCCACTGAAATAATCCGAACTGTCTATAGAAGTATCAAATATCTAGAACTTACACTTTCAGCCTATAGCTTTAGTGACAATAGAAACCTACACAACAGACCGCAGATTTGTAAATAAACTTGCCACAATTATAAAATTATTGAAAAAACGAAACTCACAATTATAATACTGAGAAAAGAATAATAAGGGTGGTTGTGTTCCAGAACATAAAGACGGTGCTGGTGTCGAGATGCAAGAGCTTCGCACCCCAGTCTCTTTCCTGGTTGCCTGCGACAGTCACCTGTCTCGATTTTGACGGAGAACTCTTCTACAGAGGGCTTTTGGGCGCTGCCCTCAACTTCCGGTTCACTATCGGGCTGAGGGGTTGGCTACCAGAAGCAGCAGCTATTTTAAAGTGAGCCCGGAATTTTTCAAATCAGGTGCACCGTAAGCTGTCTTATGATCTGTGGAGACACTCAGTTTCATTCAGAAACACCGCGTACGAACTCAACAATCTGTCACATCAGTAGAGGGCGCAAATGATTTCTACTGAACATTTTTCTATTTCCAAAAAATTGAAGAAGACATGTCTCTCTTAGCATTATGCAGAACTATTTCCGGAATCTGAAAACCAGTTGAATATATTTATCTGTTGTCCAAAGCTGCCTTTGTTTCTTCTGCAATATTCCCATGCAACGTGTCATGGAATTTTATTACAACTTTCAGGCCTCATAAAAAAATAGGCATTCATATTAACTCAGAATATGTACGGAATATTTACCTTTATGATAGCAGACCATAAATTTTCAACACCGCTAACATAAAAAACCGCCATTGGACACAGTCTTCTTTCCGTCTACAAAACAACTCCATAAGTAACGTTTTAATGTTATCCTCAAATCGTTAAATTTTACTGATTACAGTCGCGGGGTTCCTCAAGAAGACGTAAAGAAATCCTTAGTTGGCTGATGCACAAATAACACATTAATAGCTAATTAAAAACCACATTAAGTTACAAAAACAATTTAACAGAAAAGTACATTACAGGTATGAAGTGGGTTTGTTTGCAAATAAATTTTAAAATTTCAATGACTCATTTTAATACGTTGGAAGGAGGAAACTCCAACTCTTAACCACATCAAGCGATCCTCAGGTTGTTAGAGACTTTGGAAACTTGCTGAGTAGACTCAAATGGCTAATGAGTAAGTTGCTTGGTTAGTAAGCAGTCTCTTAACTCTCAACTTATCAGTTCAATAGTCAGGCCCTTTGTTTACATAGTCAATCAGTCTGACAGCAACTTATCAGTTCAATAGTCAGGCTGTTTGTTTACATAGTCAATCAGTCTGACAGTTATTCAATAAGTTAACGAGTCAGTGGCTTGCCCTGCAGCGACCTCCACATTGCGCGCCAGAAGCAGTTCGTGTCTTCAGCCGGTCTCTCAGAGCTGCATTTGGGGGCCGTGCAGGTCAATGCGGCAGACCTATGTACGATCCTACAGAGCATCCCGACGCTGCGTTTACTACGTCACTACCAGCTCGTCACAGCGCTGAACCTGCTGCATGGCGAGCAATGGCGAAGCAATGAGCATCTGCCCAAATATCGACTTCGAAACCTCGATATGGACTTCTCGCACGTGGTATGCCTATATATAGAAGTCACTTTAGTCTATATTTGCGGTGTTAAACATGAATATATTAAACTACGAAATTCTGGTAGTCTCATTTGTTGTTTGCCGAATGGTTCATCCTGTTTCGTATTCTTGATGTACCAGTCCTGAGGTTTCTCGCAGTTTACTTCAGTCGCTCCAGACAAATTCCGAGACAGGACCTTGAATCAGGGCACAATCTCTTGCTTCTATATATTTTCCAATTCATTATTCATCTGAACCCCTGACTCTATATAATCCAGACTAGTGTCGTTAAATAAACAAACAAAATATTAACAAATATGAGAACATTTAGTAGGCAAGTTCCTTGTCACCATTCATGTAGTCCTGTCGCTTCCGGTTCTATCCTGACAAACTCACAATATATGACTCTTTCTTCTGTATATAGGGCCAATATTTTTAAAACCGAAATTCTTTTTCTGGATATACCGAAATAAACGACACTGGAGCACCGCATCCTTATGCCGATCACCTGTCCTTACTTTGGTTCTGCCGGCAGGTGCGATGCCGAATGTCGCCGGAAGCTGTGCTGCCCCCAGACGTCTTGCAACTAGCTGTGCTCTTGTGTCCTGATGCCTGCCTTATTCGCGTACGCTACGACTGCTCCACTCCACACGACGTGCTGTCGCCACTCGCCACGATGCTTCGCTCATTGCGGGAACTGAGCGTTGTATGCGTCACCAGTGGCGAGCGGAGCCACCTGGATTTTGGAGACCTGACTCCTATCCTGGAGAAACACGGCTCAGAAACGCTGAGATCCCTCGAATTAAAGGTCTCTTCTTTTGAGTATGAACACATCGCCCACATCATCAACATCATCATCACAATCATTTATTCTAGACATGCATCTTCTGCGGTAGAGAACGTGATCTAAGGAAAAGACGTGAACTCTGGAGTTCGAGGCTACAGAAGCCCTTTTTTAAATACCGATTTTATAACGGCTTTTCATACGAAAAGACAGAGAAAAGAACAGTGGACAGAGTAGTAAGAGACACTTCTCATTGAACTTATTGATCTGAAGATTTCCATGCACTGCATGTTTGCCCTATTGCTAAGGATAGAGCGGAGACAACTGAAAAAGTCGGAACTTGGTAGGTTGTGATAAACTTGATTTCGAAATGACAGCAATCGATTGTCGAGAAAACAGCAGATCGATTGTTAAGATGACAGCAGTCGATGGTCGAGAAAACAGCAGATCGATTGTTAACGAGAATAAATTCGGTTGTGATTAACTGCAGATTATCCCAATATTATTTCATAATTCGATTTGTACCCCCCAGAAAAAAGAACATCGCGTCTCTATTAAAAAGAACCAGTCGGGTAATGTTTAGGGAAACATAGTTCTTCATCGTGACAACCGAACGGAATATACAACAAACACTGAGGATGAAATGAAGATCTACTTAACCAGGAGGTTATCTTATATGTCGTTGTGCTGTAAAAGGTTAAACTAATGACAACTTTGAACTTCATTACGTCCAGTCAGCTGTTGGGTTCTTGTTCATTGTACCACCATTACGTGCTTTTCTAGGCGTTTCTTCGACATGTTCCGTTCTGTGTTTTACAACTTGCCCCATCTTCTGTCACAGTTATGACATATAAATCAAATCCCAGCCCCAGGGCGCAGTATATGACCTACCACAACCAGTTTAGCGTGGGAACCTGCAGACGCAACACATACTTGATTGAAGAGAAATCTACTGAATTTTGCTTTAGAGGCGAATTGCAGACAGGTGTTGTGTCATGAGCTCTTGGTTCGAAATTGTCCAATTACACAGTCTGACTTCTTAATTGCGTGACAACCTATTATAAAAACAACAAAGCACTGGAACTTAAAAAGTTCACTTAAATTTTCAAATGTGTTCCTTGCGTTCTAGTTGGTGTCATTATCAGTTTGCTAAAGTTATAAATGTACTATTTCACGAGAAAGTACAGTTGCAAAAGCAAAATAGAGATGGGAGGATAACGAGAATGTCTGTTTCATGAAGATAAGTTGTAAGGATAGCTGCTGTTAGAAATGGCAAATGACTGTGGCCGATGGAGGGCTTTTGTACTACCGTCCAGTTTCTCCTACCAGAATTAGTTACAAATTTATTGTCGAAATATGAAATCAGTATGACACTGCATTGAACATAAGACAACCGTAAATAATATACCATGTACAGACAAAATGTTTCAGTCCTGAAGACGGAGACAGAATTTCTTTTCGAAACGTTTGTATCTACCTGCAATTTTACATCGCGTCACTAGCAGAAAGAAATCATCTGCATAGAGATAGCTGTCTTCTGAGTTGTAGAGCCATGTAGTCGGGCAGAAGTTCACTAGCGTTGCAGACGTCCTTGCTGCCTCTATCATCTACGGTTAAAATACGACTTGCACATTCTGTAGCATAACAAGTGATTTTTATCGAACATTTTAAGTTTGGTCCGAGCTTCGAATGAGACGGGTACACTGGATGAACATTCAATTCATTCGGCAATTTTCACAACAGATGAATGCGCTTTTGTGTCTTCAGGTTATCGAAGAATTGGATGTCCACGTGATCGTAACCACGTGCCCGAAACTGGAACGCCTCGTTTTGAGTGGCTGCGGCAACGTCACGCCATCCACGTGTCCCAACTACAACTGCAAGGCCCTCAAGCTCAAGAGACTTCGACTGTTGTTCTTCGCGGACGGAGACGACTTCAGCTGGGACCATGCAGTCCCACAGTGCTTCTGGCGAGCAACGCTGAGGGCAGGTACACATGCGTCCGCCGTGTTCACACACTTTTATAATTTACTTTTATCAGTGGTCCGGTCCACGCCTGTTTGTCTGTCATATTGTTACAAGTGACCTTGAATTACAAAGCCACAACAATGGCCTTGGTCCACAGTGTTTCTACATTATCTTTGATACAATTGTTTCCTACGATACCGTTGTTACCCTGATGACGTCATCATGACATTGCGTAAAAAATACCTTTAAAATCTCAGTGCAAACTGAAGAGTCTGCTTTCACTGACGTCATCATTATATTGCGTAAAAAATACCTTTAAAATATCAGTGCAAACTGAAGAGTCTGCTTTCATGTACGTGTTAACAAAAGCGTTTTATTTGTTAGATTTGACGGGAATGAAACGTTCTCGTGTTAAAACCGTGACGAATATTGGCTATTATATAATTTTTCTTACCCGTGTTTTCGTTTTGCGAGCTCCAGACTGCACTGTCGACACTTCTGCATTTTTTGCCACCACAGTTGCCACCTTCAGGGCTTGATATCAACTTTTCCGCATCGCACAAACGACGCAGTAGTCAATCGTGACGGCCCCTGGCTAGAAAATAAGGAGCTTATGTACACACGCGTCAATTACACAACTTTAACGGGCGGCTAATGTGAAGTGAATAGGATGAGTATTAACGTCGAATTGTTAAAGATAGCCTACGGAAACGAAAATAGTCGGTCGTGACAATTTTTAAAACGCTATGCCGACATTTGTAATAAAATAAATAAAATAGACATTCATGCAGAGGTTAGGATAAATGTTGCGATCGTCAAGAGCCACGGTATTTGGGAATGTAGGGGGAGGTAAGGGGTACGCGCAGCGTCACTACGAAATAAGGACGTATTCTTTTTTTACCGTCTAAGATTTGAGGACAATCCAGTATTGGTTCTCTGAATTCAAATTCCTATGTCAATAATTGTTAAACTGAAATTTCTACTAGTCCGAGTATCTGCGATTCCGTCGTCGTTAATTATGAAATGGTCTTCAATACTTTAAGCTTGGAAAAGCTACGTTCACCGCTTTCCACCGTGATAGGAAAGTACAGCACTGTTTCCAGCGACAATGTGAGGAAATGAAACTCTGAGACTCGGGGACGATTGATATTTCGATACATGTGTGCATGCCACAGGGCAGAAGGCTCGATAGTGGGAAAGGGAAAAGACATAAAACAAGAACAGAGAGGGAAAAGACTACAATGTCAAGGGTTCTATAAAATGTAAGGGCCTTCCACAGGCTGACTTGCTCTGACCCATCTCCCTAGTGACGGCCGCATGACCGTATCGAATTCAAAGAGTCCTGAATTCTATCTATACGCCTATCAAATAAATAGAGGCAAGTCAGCTACATCGCCGAGTTAGGACGGCAACTTCTCTGACGTGTGTGTGTAGCGGGTCGGTCTAACAGAAAAGTTTTGTTAATTAAAATCACACAAGAAGGAATCACGTAACAAATGTTTTGTTAACTCTTGTTCATTAGCAAAATAGTTCTGTCTTCAGGCTGACTGAGCAGTCGAAAACTACTCTACAGCTCTACACGTCTAAGTGCAATTGCATATATAATAATTCTGTACTTTTAGGATAAATTAGGGTAAATTATGTAACGGGGAAGGAAAAACATATCAATTTTTTATCTGAAAACATACTGCCTCATTGAATATCATTCGGTTAAGATAATAAATGGACCGGACCAAGATCCGTGGGTTCGAATCAATACCGGACTATGGATGTGTGCACACACGTGTCAATCAGCCACACTCCATCACAGGCCCCTCCTCCAGAATTGGGGTTTAGCCGATAGTTAGCTGAAGAGAGATTCACAGGAATAAGCGGATCTGTGAAATCAGGGATAAACTTTATTCGCTGCAAACATGAGTCATGATCTGCCTACATTCAAATTACAAGTCAAACTTTTACTAACTAAAATTTGTGGTTCTCACGGCGGTGAGTACGAAGATATTTGTCTTCTGAGTGGTAATGCCGAGTATTCTGGTAGAAATTTACCAGCGTTTCAGAGGTCCTTGCTGCCTCCATCATTGGCGTTGGTAAACGTCCACCAGACTACTCAGCGCTACAACCCAGAAAACAGTAATTTTCTTATTAAATGTATCAAAAACAAAAGAATTTTGACCTGTTACGGAACGCAGGGCTGTTGAACAGGAATACGAGTTTAGGCCTTGGAAGTTTTTCATCAATAACAATGTTCCACAATCAACTCTCCTGTGCAATGCCTACGAGGACTCTCCCCACAGCGTGAAACTAAGCAATGGCTGAGGTTACGAATGTATGGAGCTCTCTCTAGATAGCCCTTAATAATATACAAAACGTAACGTTTCTTGTTATCATTCTCCCGAATTATAAGTTATGAAGTTGTATGAAATGCGCTTTCATCATTGGGTTTGTTTCAGAACACGGCAGTCGCTTAGAAGGAATATTTTTAGAGTCACCACGGATCACTCCCAACACAGCGGATGCTGTTTTCTCGAAGCGTTTCCCGGAACTGCAGGTCCTGAGTCTGTGTCGCTATCCTGAGGTCACGGTGGATATCGTGGCGACCGCGTGTGGCCTGGACAAACCCTCACCGCGTTCTACCCGATACATACGTTTGAATGAGTGCGAGAGAATCGGACCACGGGAGGAACGTCGTCTGAGAGAGATGCTGAACGGGGTCCATCTCGTCGTTAACTAAGCGACGGCCAGGAAATAGGTACATGCACCAAGACAGTTGTCGCAACTGTACCACCTCCGGGCCATGGTTCGTATTTTACAAGAACAAAAACCCATGTTGTATTTAAAATTACGCGTACGTCATATATTTGTTGACTTTTTTATAAAAAAAAATGGCTTGTTTCAATCTGAAGTTCACATCGGCGCTTTATGGAGCGATAGTCCTCTAAATTCAGTTGAACTCTTAAATACCAACAAAGCAAGTTATGCTTGGGGATGAAATTGACTAGAACCTGAGTAGCTTACACCGAAAAACAGACACTGGACACCAAGAACCCTCACAACGAGACTTCTCTATGAGGAAGGCGCTGTGAAGACACACAAGCTTTCAGTCAGCAATAGTTGACACTGCTTCTACAGGGCAGGATTATTTATTTATTTATTTATTGCTTATTGAAACTTACGTATCAAAATGACTTGCATAAACAACATAAATATTCAACTGACGCATATTAATGGGTAATGGAAAGTTTCCTTCGCCTAAAAATTTAAAAACCAACAAAGTTTCTGAAACTGATTCTGGTTCCGTCATTACGTTCAACTATGTAAATAACCTAGTCCGTGAATCCACTGGAAAAATATAATATTAAACCGTACATACCAAAACGTAGAGGGTTTATTAAACTTTCAGGCGAATAAAAATGCCAAATAATAGGCATCAATTAGACTAAAAACCTTCAGACTTAAAAAAATATGGAATATTTTTGCAGTGTACTTTTTTATCAACCTGTGAAGACAAGAAGGCGACCGCCAAACATATTCTAGTGCAATGTCAGATACTGCTGAGTCACGCAAGGAACTTGCCTGCAGTACCATAAAGCAGCATTACGGACTGTTGTACAAGGTCTAGTTCGCTGGAGCGTAGCAGCAGTTCTTGACATGGGTGTTGGTGTCTCGACTCTCACTTTCAAGTGCAGGAGCGTTGACCTAATATCGCGGTTTCCAAGAAAACGACGCGCGTGAAGGGCGGTTACTTGACAATGCCTTTTCATACATGATTGATTCCAACGACACTGAAGAAGTGTTTACTGCCTCCATCACCAGGGCGATCGCTCTCTGCAACGTCGGTAAACTTCTACCAGACAACACGGCGCAACAACCCGCAAGACAGCCATCTTCATAATCGCCGCCTTGAGAACCTAAAATTTTATTTAACGATTTAACGACACTGCCTCAACCGCACTGATTATATAGCGTCTGTTGTGCTGGATGATCAAGAACAGATGATGGCCTGCAAGGAAGTGGCCGTAGACTATTACGAAGTCCCGGAAAACTTTTGTCAACACAGCCGATGTCTCAGTCGAGATTCGACGTGGGTGTATCCGGAATTTTAGCATTAACACGACACAACCTTTTCGATATGACCAGCCGATCCCCCCACCAAGTAATCCAACTGAATGCTCAATATACTGAATAAAATAGATACGTCTAAACCGAAAAGGATTGATTAAAACTTGTGAAAAATTCACACGGCGGAACTGGCTGTTTTTTCGTCATAAATAATCAACACAGCGATATTTTTTTTTCAGAGGCGCCGAAATGGCGTGAGAGCTGCAAGAGCCCTATTTGTACAAAAGTGACCCTTTTAAGGACAAAGCTGCAATTGAATTTCCGCGAAAATGCTGTACAAACAACAGTGTAAAAAGCAATTATAAATTCAAATGAAGAAGTCGGAAAATTATGTAGGCGTACAGCTGATTCAGTCAGCCCACTGCGGTTTCTGTAACTACGCCAGGTGCATCTGACTTTCACTTCCACCGTATTACATTCATAATTAGAATGGAGATCTAATTTTATACGATACATGAACAGTGATAAGGAAAGCTAAATAAACCATCATCTCTGCTTCTATTACATTAAAACGTACTAGTAATCTGCATAAAATTGCAGGCCTAATATAATTCCGTATCACTATGCTTCTTTGTTGTAACTCCACAGTGAATAACTTTTTCTTTAATTAAATATTATATAATTATTATTATATATATTCACCATTTTACAGGGTATTTACTTCTATGTAACTTAGACAAACCTTTCCCCTGAGGTACATAGTAGCAGCTATTTATGAAATACATTTTGTTTTTAATAGTGTTACATGTATCATACATATTTATTTTGAGGCATGACAATATATACTATATATTTTACATCATCGTCTTTCGAATGATGTATGATGTTTCTAGAATAGCAGTTTTCTGAAGTTCACTAATTTCGTGTTCGCCCAATATTATTATTATTATTATTTACACTAATTTAATTGTGTATGTAGTTCAAGTGTTTGCCTGTTATATGCTACAGCTTTTGAAAAGCACTCTAATATATTGCTTTAATTATTATTATTAATAATAATATTATTATTCAGCGAATATAGTTATTGGGCTGTGGTCTGAATGACCAAGGTTTGATTCCCGGCAGAAGCACACGTACTTATATAAAGGACTGGACATTTCTTGACCAGCTGAGAGACTGTAGAACATTCTGATAGCGACACTGCAATATGGACTTATTATTAACTAAAAACACTAATTCCATGGAATAGAATCTTCAATGTTCCCTGTGGTCAAGAAATTCCCCGTAATTTATGAAACCTGCAGTTTCATAAGCCATGTTTGCAACCCGTCGCCACAGGCCCCTATCCTAAGTCAGAAAAATTCAGTCTAGAAACACACAACTTCCCTAATATCTATTTTAATAGTATTCTCGCATCTCTGCCTAGATCTTCCGAGCGGTCTCTTTAGACTTATCAACCAAACATTTGTGTGCATTTCTCATCTCCCCATTCGTGCTACATGCCCTGCTGATATCATCTTACTTGATCTGATCATTGTAACAATGTTTGGTACACAGTACTGCCTATAAAACTCCTCTATATGCAGATTTCATGCGTTTTAACGCAGCTTCATCAGCTAGTTTAAACACATAATCATACATTTAAGTAGATCACGTAATGTTAGTGAAGTTGTAAACTTCACGTGACTGAAGTTTACTTCACAAGTTCGGAAATATTATGCGGTTTATTAAACCAGGCAAGGGAAGTTTCCTTTTACCACTTTAAAATTTCGATGGTTCTTTGGTTTCGTGGTTGGACTCTCAGTGTTTCCCTGCATAACCTGACAAATAATACAAAAGAAATAATCGATAATACAAAAAAGATACGATCACTTAGAAAAAAAAATAAAATGGGGCTGGCCCATGTACACATCGGCAAAATAGCAAAATAAAAAATACTCCAGTCTTAAACAAACGAAAAATGAACAACGCATTCTCCGTCCCAAAGCCAAAAACTATTTTAATTCTACCCAAAGAACAAGACATTTTTACGTCTAGATGGCTGATCTGCTAACACGAACACATTATAAAACAATAGAGAAACTTTTACCTAAATTTGCTCTTGTTACAGCTTGTATCTGACAAGTTCTGCCTGTGAAACTCACATTTTACTCGTCCAAGGTGTCCTACCACATGTCTAAACTGACAAAGTAACCTCCTATACCGGAGGAGGTCATGAAACGACAAGGACTGTTGAACCACAGATAATAATAATGTTGAAGCCAATAGCACGTGTGACACTTGCACGTAAAACACCGGACGAGATAAGAATCACAATACTTCAAATGCTTCGGAGAAATTAAAAGAAATTAACTTTTAGTAATTAGTAACAAATCAACAAATAATTTTGTGGGCGTGGTTACAAGTGTTCTCGGGTCGGACGAAGCCCGCGGGCAGCCATTTGGACCGCGCTATCCTAAGCTATGCATCACACTGTCCCGGACAAATTAATTTCCAGCTGAAACGATCCTGACCAGATTAACAGCAACACAAAGTTGAAACGATTGGCTGTAAAACCAATACGTACAGGGACGGCAGTGAACTGAATCCGATGAAGCAGACAGCCTCCCGCCTACTTGCAGCGCATCCGGAGGAAGAGCCAGTGATTCGATAGCTGATGAAAAGCTTAGCGTAAGCTGAGACTAATGAAGCGGAAACAATTTGCAAGACATACACAGCGCTACAACCTCTACCAACCACAGCAGGTGTACAGACTCGACTGAACGGAAAAACAGCTTGGCGGGAAGGCGGGGTAAGCGATCAGAACCTCAGCTGATCAAATTATGAAATGATGATAAACGAGGAAATAATAAGGATGAGTAATCGCTGTATCTGCATGGACAGACTGGGTTAAATCACGGGGAACAAATAGATTAGCACATCTGGGTATTTGGGAGATTTCGTCTTGGGAATCGCTGTCCAAAGAACGCTATCGTCGCTAAATACTCAAAAGGTTATGTTCAGTCACTTCATGCAAATACTGATATAGTACCTTAAACAGATAAACGTTCATGACATTATTTCAATCGTCACCCATTTGGGCCTAACTTGGGCCAGTTGAATCCAGTTCAAACACTCAGATCCTTTTACTTTTAAGCCTATATATTCTATACTTGGGACTTTCGCGGCAAGTACAATCAATAAAATCTTCTCGGGAATTCAGCCGCGTCAACTGGTTACCGTAGTAAACCGACGTTTCGGGAACCAACTCTGTCCCCATCATCAGAGTTCTGATGTGACTGGATACTTCGTAAGTCGACTGTGTACTGATTCCCGAAACCTCGGTTTACTACGGTAACCAGTTGACGCGGCTGATTACCCGAGAAGATTTTATTGCCTACATATTCTCTTGAAATATAACTTCTAATTTAAACATAACTCTAAATTGAACTAGAACTTTGCATGTGTGTCGTCTTCTCCATTTGTACTATCTAACCAGCCCATCTCACCTTGGGTTATACGTTCGCCGTAATCATATTTGGCGAAGTGCATAAAATCATTAAACTCCCAATCAACCCTATGTCATTTTCTTCATCCTTTTATTACTTTACCCCTCTCAGGTCTAAATATTCACCTCATCACTTCATTTCCAAACACCTTCAATCTGTGTTCTTCCCTCAGGGCAAAAGATCAAGTTTACATCAACACTTATAAGACGAAAGGTAAAATTATAATTTTATTTCTTCAGATGGGAAACGAAAATACAAAGACTTTACAACTGAACGACAAGACGCACTTCCAGAATTCAACGTGCGCTTAATTTATTCCTAAATGCGATTTTTATCTGATATGTCTAACATCTTATCATATTTCAACGTAGACATACTTTCTAGTATTTATCAGCTATCTTTATAGGTGTATTAAGCCTGTAAATTTCCCAGAATTCTAGTAATTATACATGAATACTTACATTTATTTTTAATTTCTGTGGCTATTTTTGGTTTACGTAAAATGTCTACACTATAACGGATAATTTCTCTCATATTTCTATGGCAGCGTGTACGTAAAATGTAAGTAGTGGTCAAAGTATTCTAGACACTGGTACATTCCTGTTGCTTAATTCTCGGTGTTGGATACAGCAGTGGAAGACATCACTAAATCGACTAGACAGGCAGACTGGTGGGTCACACACGGTCGACGTGTCCGAACCGGGAATGGGACTCCATTCGTCCGTTCAGCCCCCTGCTAAATCCGCCTCTGCACACTCGCTTGCATAAACCCCTGCAATTATACTATTAGCTGCACGAGCTGTCATGGGGTGAGAGGACTGAAGCCATGATCTACAGCTCAGAAAGAAAGTGAGCCAGTCACTCCGCGTGAAACCGCCTGGTAGCGGGAATCTCTGTTAATGACAATACGAATTGGTCGTGTCTCTGTGCACAGACCGAATTGACGAACAACTGTCAGTTATAATATGTAGGATTTGAGGTTTACACGAGGATTTGAAATTACTTAGTTGTCAATTATAATTTAAAGCTTTGTACCATAACAGTGTCTAGAAAAAGAAACAATCTGTACGTGTGAGGTTTGAATTTAAGGATTTACCGGAGTTGAATAACGAATTCTGTCTAGTGGGTGATGACGCAGTGTAACCTTTAAGTGGTTACAAACGTTTAGAATGAACCTACTGCTTCCATCTTCACTTCACACTCAAACTCGACGTTGGTAACTTTCTCGTTTTTTTTGGAACGAAATGTCGATATCCGAACACGGCTTTGCCCTCAAGTTAACGTAACCATTCTTTCGAGACATATATTTCTGGACATCGCAGTTTGTTTGTTAAACCTACGAATTCTTCATGACTTCGTGAGAGGATCGGCTTAATCTCACGAGGAGCATCTCCAGTTTACATTCGAGCTCGAATCCCGGAGCAGAGATCCCCCTGTGTCAGTGACCGTTTCTTGCAGCTTATTTTTTGTTGTCACGCTGATTGATTCAGATGGCGGAATTCGCAGAGAACCAAAAATAACCACTTCCACATTCAAACCATGATCTATTTTTACGTGGCAAAACTGCGCCAGTTAAATGTAGCAACACCTCATGTGGAAATTCAAATATCCATAAGAGCGACTTAATGTATTCAATTTATGCATATTCATGGAGGATGCGACACTTTCGTTCCGGAGTTGTGACTAACGGTTATTCTAACAGCTCTTGACAACAGCCAGAGGAATCTAATTATCATACCGAAGTAAGTATACATACGGTATCCGTTTACAACGAAGCGGAAACTTACCTTTCCTATTCTCATCAGCGGAATCATATTTTGCAACAAACAAACATCTACCTCGACAAAACATAATTTGTTTCATGTACAACTTTGTCTTTCGGGGATGAGCCATATCGAATGCTGGAAATTATCGAACTTTCGACAATCATTACAACTTCCATCTTCAGGATGAATACGCGAATTTGATTCGTGTTATTTATTGGCAACTTCTCTACGTGGAGACCAAATTTAAATTCTAGGTGTGACTTGTGGCATTAGGAACAAATTTTAATCTTGTATTTCGACTCTCCTCTGCTGGTCATTATTCTATCATTACCTCTCACTTCAATTTATCATCGCGTCTGAGACGTGGCGTTAGATTAAAACAGCCATCACGATATTTTA